GATTGATTTTAGCATTTAGTTCTTTTTACTCATCAATTGTTTTAAATCCAAAAGATATTTCGGATCAACTTCAAAAAATGGCGGTTACAATTCCAGGAATAAGACCTGGATTACAGACAAATTTTTATTTAAAACAAATTATAAAAAGAATCACCTTAATTGGTGCAACTATGCTTGCAATTTTAACTGTTGTTCCAAACTTTATCGAGTCAACTTTAAACATTACAGGTTTAACTGGATTAAGTACAACCTCATTACTAATTTTAGCTGGTGTAATTTTAGATTTAATTCGTGAAATTGATAACATTTATTATTCAAACGTTTATAACAATAAATATCAATAATATTATTTAAAAAATTTAAAAATGAAAGTGCGTCCTTCAGTAAAAAAAATGTGTGATAAATGTCGTGTAATTAAACGACATGGTAGAATTATGGTGATTTGTCAAAACCCAAAACATAAACAACGTCAAGGATAATAGAATTTAAAGGAGTTTACAAATGGTAAGATTAGTTGGTGTTGATTTACCTCGAAATAAAAAAATTGCATATGCTCTTACTTATATTCATGGTATTGGTTTAACATCTGCAAAGAAAATTATTGCACAAGCAAATATTATAGCAGAAACAAGAGTTTATGACTTAACAACTGAACAAACAGTTGCATTAAGACAAACTTTAGAAGATATTAATTTAAAATTAGAAGGTGATTTAAGACGGTTTAATGGATTAAATATTAAACGTTTAAATGAAATTAATTGTCATAGAGGAAAACGACATAGAAATAGTTTACCTGTTCGTGGTCAAAGAACTCGAACAAATGGTCGTAGTCGACGTGGCGCAAAAAAAACTGTTACTGGTAAGAAAAAATAAATTTATTTGAAATTTTTATATGGCACAGACAAGAAGAAAATCAATAAGTAAAAAAAATAGAAATAGTTTTACAACTGGTGTAGTTCATATTCAATCAACTTTTAATAATACGATTGTTACAATTACAAATTTAATGGGTGATACAATCTCTTGGGCTTCAGCTGGAAGTTCGGGGTTTAAAGGTGCACGAAAAAGTACTCCATTTGCTGCTCAAACGGCTGCTGAAAAAGCAGCATTAGATGCATTAAGTACTGGAATGAAGAATGTAGAAATTTTAGTAAAAGGACAAGGATCTGGTCGTGAAACTGCTATTCGAGCAATTGAAGGCGCGGGGTTTGAAATAACGTCAATTCAAGATATAACAGCTGTTCCACATAACGGTTGCCGACCACCAAAACGTCGTCGGGTTTAAGGGTTTTATTTCTATTACATTAAATTATGACTAATATTTCTATTACATGCCTTAAGTCAGAACAAGTTGAATCAGGTTCTTGTCATGGACAATTTTTAATCCATTCTTTAAAACCTGGACAAGGAATAACAATTGGAAATCAATTACGTCGAGTATTATTAAATGATCTAGGGGGAGTTGCAATTTCCGCTGTTCGAATTGCGGGAGTAAGCCATGAATTTTCTATTCTTCCTGGTGTTCGTGAAGATATTTTAGAAATACTATTAAACCTTAAAGGAATTGTTCTTAAAACTAAAAATCGAACTCCAGAATTTGGTCGGTTAAAAATTCAAGGACCAGCAGTTATTACAGCTGATTTAATTCAATTACCATCGAATCTAGAAATTGTTAATCCTAACCATTATATTATGACAATTTCTACATCAAATATTCTGGAAATTGAATTTAAATTTGAATATGGGACAGGTTATAAATTAGCTTCCCAGACTTTTTTAGAAGAAAATGAAAATTATTTACAATTAGATACAATTTTTATGCCAGTTGAAAAAGTTGATTTTAAAATTGAAAATATTTATGATAATAATACTGTAAGCGAAAGAATCTTTCTAGATATTTGGACAAATGGAAGTATTTCACCAAATGAAGCTCTAAAATCTGCAGCACAACTTACGATTGATCTTTTTAGCTTTTTAGTTAAAGAAAAGGATAACGAAAAAAAAACTGAGTTAAAACCAAAAATTCGTTCAATTAGTATTGAACCATATACAAATATTGCAATTGAAGAATTACAATTATCGGTTCGGGCTTATAATTGTTTAAAAAAAGCTCAAATAAATACAGTAGGTGATTTATTACATTATTCACCCGAAAAATTACAAGAGCTTAAAAATTTTGGACGAAAATCAGCAGATGAAGTTTTTTCTACATTAAAAAATAGACTGGGAATTATTTTAAAGTAAATAAGAACCTTATTTATTAAATTTACATAAAAAAATTATGAATTCATTAAATAAAACATTTTTGCCAACTCAAAACTATAAGAATCGTAATTGGTTTCTTATTGATTGTAAAGGGCAAAGTTTAGGGAGACTTGCAACATTAATTACAAGTTTATTAAAAGGTAAAATAAAACCACAATATCACCCTGCAGTCGATACTGGGGATTATATTATTTTAATAAATGCTGAGTTTATTGTAATAAACGAGGATAGTAAACACTATCTAGTTTATAACCCAGGACGACCAGGTCGTTCATTAAAAATTAAAAATGTCTCGGATTGCCTACCAAAATTAACAATTGAACGGGCTGTAAAACGAATGTTATCACAAACAGAAACTAAAAGATTAATGAAACGGTTAAAAATCTATAATGATCAACATCATACTCATCAAGCACAAAATCCTATTCAAATTGATGTTAATAATTTCTACAACAGCGTTCAAGTAGAAAATTAAACGATTGATTTCAAAAACTAACAAGATCTAAATATATAATACATATGTCAAAACTCATTTTTCAAAAAGATAATATTGGTCTCGGAAAGCGCAAAGAAGCAGTTGCAAGAGTGTTTTTAATTCCTGGAAAAGGGAATTTAATTATTAATAAAGTCTCAGGAAATAAATATTTACAGTATAATGAAAATTATTTAAATCTTATCTGGGCTCCTTTAAAAGAATTAAAGTTAGAAAAACAATTTGATATTGTAACTTTAGTTAAAGGTGGCGGATTAACTGGTCAAGCACACGCGATTCAATTAGGAGTTGCTAGACAATTATGTAAAATTGATAACAAAAATCGAACTCTTTTAAAACCATTTGGTTTTTTAACACGCGATGCACGTGTTAAAGAACGTAAAAAATATGGATTACGAAAAGCAAGAAAAGCTCCACAATATTCAAAACGTTAATTTTTATTTAAATAAAAACATGCCAAAATCTAATTTACATCCTAAATGGTTTAATGATACCATTGTTTTATGTGATGGAAAACCACTTTGTATAACAAGTTCGACAAAAAGTGAACTACAAGTTGACATGTGGTTAGCAAACCATCCATTCTATTCAAAATCTCAACTTATAATTGATAGTGAAGGTCGTGTTGAACGCTTTATGAAAAAATATGGTTTAAATTCAACAGATTAATAACTTATAAAATTTATATAAAAGATAATTGTAAAATTTTATGCCAACTATACAACAACTAGTTCGTTCAAGACGTATTCAAATTAAAAAGAAGACAAAATCACCAGCATTAGTAAATTGTCCACAAAGACGAGGTGTTTGTACCCGCGTGTATACAACTACCCCAAAAAAACCGAATTCAGCTCTTCGAAAAGTAGCTCGAGTTCGTTTAACATCAGGATTCGAAGTTACTGCGTATATTCCAGGAATTGGTCATAATTTACAAGAACATTCAGTAGTTTTAATCCGCGGTGGTCGAGTAAAAGATTTACCCGGTGTAAGGTATCATATTATTCGAGGTGCTTTAGATACTGGAGGAGTTAAGGATCGAACTCAAGGTCGTTCAAAATATGGTGTAAAAAAACCAAAAGGTTAAAGAATAATTCATCTATTAACATTTAATTTAGAGAAAATATTTATCAACTAAAATTATGTCACGTCGAAATATTTCAAAAAAACGTTTACCTCAACCAGATTCTATCTATAATAGTTATTTAGTAAGTTTACTTATTACACGAATTTTAAAATCTGGTAAAAAGACTATTGCAAAAAAAATTGTATATGAAGCATTTGAAATTATAAAGCAGAAAACAAATGAAGATCCCTTAGCAATTTTTGAAAAAGCCATTTGTAAAGGTAGCCCAGTTGTCGAAGTTAAAGCAAGGAGGGTTGGAGGTTCTACATATCAAGTTCCAATCGAAGTTAGCGGTTTTCGAGCTACAAATTTATCAGTAAGATGGATAATACAATATTCTAAACAAAGAGTTGGTCGAAGTATGTCAATAAAATTAGCTAATGAAATTATTGACACAGCTAATGAAATTGGCAATACTATTAAGAAAAAAGAAGAAACGCATAAAATGGCTGAAGCTAATAAAGCTTTCGCTCATTTTAGATATTAACTTTATACAAAGTGTCTCGCTAAAAGCTTAAAATTGAATTATAACGTTTAAAAATTTAAAGGAATTATATAATGGCACGTGAGAAATTTGAACGTACAAAACCACATGTTAATATTGGTACTATTGGACACGTAGATCATGGAAAAACAACTTTAACAGCCGCTATTACTGCAACTTTATCATTAGAAGGAGGATCTATAATTAAAGATTATTCTGATATTGATGGAGCACCAGAAGAACGTGCACGTGGTATTACAATTAATACTGCACACGTTGAATATGAAACAGAAAACCGTCACTATGCACACGTAGATTGTCCTGGTCACGCAGATTATGTAAAAAATATGATTACTGGTGCTGCACAAATGGATGGAGCCATTTTAGTAGTATCAGCAGCAGATGGTCCAATGCCACAAACACGTGAGCATATTTTATTATCAAAACAAGTTGGTGTACCAGATATCGTAGTTTTTTTAAATAAACAAGATCAAGTTGATGATGATGAATTATTAGAATTAGTTGAATTAGAAGTTCGCGAATTATTATCAGCATATGATTTCCCAGGCGATGATATTCCAATTTGTCCTGGGTCTGCTTTACAAGCAATTGAAGCAATTGCTGCAAATCCAACTATGAAGCGTGGAGATAATCCATGGGTTGATAAAATCTTTGCTTTAATGGCTGCAGTTGATGAATATATTCCAACACCAGAACGTGATACTGAAAAAACATTTTTAATGGCAATTGAAGATGTTTTCTCAATTACAGGTCGTGGTACTGTCGCTACTGGTCGAATTGAACGAGGGATTGTAAAAGTTGGTGATAACATTGAGATTGTTGGTATTACTGAAACACAAACAACAACAATTACTGGTATTGAAATGTTCCAAAAAACATTAGACGAAGGTTTTGCTGGTGATAATGTTGGTATTCTATTACGTGGTGTTGATCGTGAGAACATTGAACGTGGTATGGTATTAGCAAAACCGGGTACCATTACTCCTCATACAAATTTTGAATCAGAAGTTTATGTTTTGACGAAAGATGAAGGTGGGCGTCATACACCATTTTTCACAGGTTATCGTCCTCAATTTTATGTTCGAACAACTGATGTAACTGGTGCAATCACTCAGTTTACTGCGGATGATGGATCTATCGTTGAAATGGTAATGCCCGGTGACCGAATTAAAATGACAGCTGAATTAATTTATCCTGTTGCGATTGAAGAAGGTATGAGATTCGCAATTCGTGAAGGTGGTCGTACCATTGGTGCAGGGGTTGTTTCTAAAATTGTTAAATAATTAAAAGGTTTTATGAAAATGAAAACGAATGCAAAAATTCGTGTGAGATTAGAATCTTTTAACGCTGAACTTTTAGTCTCTTCGTGTCAAAAAATTATTGAAACATTAGGTAATACTTCATTGGATTCAATTGGAATGATTACATTACCAACTGCAAAACGAATCTATTGTGTTTTAAGATCACCCCATGTTGATAAAGATTCACGAGAACATTTCGAGATTCGTGTTCATAAACGAATTTTAGAAATTTATTATGAACCAGAGTTACAAATTTTTGATTTATTAGCAGAAATTGATTTAGCCCCTGGGATTTTCTATCGAATTTGTTTATCTTAACGGTCAATTTTCTTTAAATAATTTTCATTAGGAAAATTATTTAAAGAATTTATAATGTTGATGGAATTAGTTAAGAGATTGCAATCTACTGAGCCTTATGTTATAATTGTTTATATATAGTATCGTATCCTCAGTAGCTCAGTGGTAGAGCAATCGGCTGTTAACCGATTGGTCGTAGGTTCAAGTCCTACCTGGGGAGTAGTTTTATAATTTTAAATATATGAATAAGAACTTAGATAGACTAAAAATTGGAGAAAAATTTTTTAATTCACGATTAATGTTAGGAACTGGAAAATATAAAACACCAATTGATGCTATTTCTAGTATTGAAACTAGTGAATGTGAAATTGTAACGGTTGCGGTTCGACGTTTACCCATAGATTTAAAAAATGATACAACAAATTTTTTAAGTGATTTAGATTGGCAAAAATTATGGTTATTACCAAATACTGCAGGTTCACAAACAGCAGAAGAAGCTATTCGAATGGCTTTTTTAGGTCATGAGTTAGCATGTCAAATGGGACAAGAAGATAATTTTTTTGTAAAATTAGAAGTTATTTCTGATCCAAAATATTTGTTGCCAGATCCTATTGGGACCTTAAAAGCAGCTGAATTTTTAGTTAAAAAAGGGTTTACTGTATTGCCATATATTAATGCTGATCCAATGTTAGCTTTACACTTAGAAGATTTGGGCTGTGCAACAGTAATGCCTCTTGGATCACCCATTGGATCAGGGCAAGGATTAAATAATTTAGCAAATATACAAATTATTATTGAAAATGCTATGATTCCTGTAATCATAGATGCGGGAATAGGAACACCGAGTGAGGCTACTAAAGCAATGGAACTCGGGGCTGATGGAATTTTACTAAATACAGCAGTAGCACAATCCAAAATGCCAGCAAAAATGGCTAAAGCCATGAAGTTAGGGGTAGAAGCTGGTCGATTAGGTTATTTAGCTGGACGAATGGAAAAAAAATATTATGCGCAGGCTAGTTCACCTACTCAACAAATTAGTAAAATTATATAAAATTTTATATAATCCTTATATATGAAGGAAAAAATTATTAGATAAGGTACCTAAGATAATCGAATAGTGGGTTGGATCATTGAGCTAGTTGATAATACTGGAAAATCATCTTTTACGCGGTTATGTATCTGAAGTTCCGACAGATGGTATCTTAATGAAGATAGATAATTTAGACAGGATAGAATTAACTCTTATAAAGAAAATTGAGAATTATCGAATGAAATATTATAAAGATCCAAACGTAATATTCTTTGATTTCCCGCGAGCTTCAGATCCGAGTAAAATTATATCGGCAACGGCTTTGATGGAAGATGCAAAATCTGGTCACTTAGAAACAACTTTTGGTGGTAAGCATAAAGAAATAGAGATATCAGACGTACATATAATTGTATTATCAAATAACGCGCCAGCTTTATCAGTTTTAAGCGTAGATCGATGGAGATTGTGGCGACTAGGTGGTAGACAATATGAAAATATAATTTGGCCATGTAAAATTAGTCCATATTTGAAAAAGGCATCTCGTAGGGCCTGGAATATAAGATGGACAGTATCAATTAGAAATTTAAGTTTAGAAGAACTAAAATCTTTAAAACAATATGAATTACTAACCTTTGATGAATCGTGGTTGATGAAAGAAGGAGATAATTTAGAAAGGTTCGGTGAGACGACTCAATATATAAAAGATTTGGTAACAAATATGACCAATTCTCCTAATTATATTAAGATCCAAGCAATGCAGTTTATGGAGAGTATCGATCAAGATTCGATTGTAGACTTTTCATTAAAAATTACATAAAAAAAATAACTATGTAATTATAAATTTTTTATATTAAGATATTAAATAAAAATAAGAAACTGATAAATTATAGTTCTTTATTCCTAGAGAAAATATTATAATGAAAGTTACACTTTATATTATAATATTTTTTCGTTTAATTAACAAATAAAAAAATATGAAGATCTACCCAAATGGTTTAATTATATTAGATGCGGTTGACATAATATGTCTCGGTTTGCTTCTAGGCTATAGTACAGCAAGGATTATTAAAATGCTAAATAAATATTATTCAAATAAATCTGAAGATCCATTAGTATCTGAATTAAAAAAAATATCTCCAGTTAAAGAAATAAAAAAAGATAAGCCATTAAATGTATCTGTACGGTATTTTCCACGTGGTGGTCAGCTGAAGGGATTTTTGCTTGATATTAAAAACAAACAAATAGGTAAATTGATAGTTTATCTATTAAAAATTACTAAAAGAATGCGAGAATTAAAACGGGTGAGAACTGCTCTTGTTTTTCTTAACATATTATTGTTTAAAAAATTAGGTATTGCTTTTGCAGCAGGAGGATCAATAACCCATCTTCGTCTTATAGTACTTGTGAGTACCTCATCTACTGTTGGGGCTCTATTAGCTCTTATGGCGACACCAGGTGGCTTTATATTTGTTTTAGGTCCAATATTAATTTTAATAATTCGATCTGAGTATGTTCTTATCGAAACTGTTAATAGATGTCGACTGTTATGCGAAGCTGTGGAAAAATATTATAATAAAAAATTAGAACTAGAAATGAAATCGTTTACTCCAGGATTGGAAACTCCGTTTAACGTTAATTCAGAACAAGGGCCATTTCAATGTACAGGTGAGGGTAAATTATATCAACGTTATTTAAAAAATAAAGAAAAAATTGAGAACCAAGTTCAATATTTTAACAAATTCAAAGATAAATTTCCAGAATGTAATGACGCAACTGTAGAACAGATTAAGTCAGAAATTGAAGAAATTTCTGATAATTTTACATAATTAAAAAAATATGTAACAGATTATGTAACAAAAACTACTACTTGTTATATAAGGTTTAAACAAGCGTTTTACATAAATACATAGCTGCGCAATATATATATATATAGAAAAACTTTTAAGTTTTTCTTGTTCTATGTACCTCTATGTACAAAGTACATAGTTAAACGATAGTGCAAGGTGTGGCGGAGTGATGCATAAGCGAAACGGAGGGCAGGTCTGTTCTCTTAATCCAGTTTAGAAAAAATTAATAAATTGAGAAATATAGATTATAAAATGAAAGTTACAAAAGAAAAGAAAAAGAATGTAAGTAGATGATCAAAACTATTTGGTATAGTAGTCAATCCAAAAGTTGATGAGGTGGTAGATTGGAAATCTATGTCAAGTTTAGAAATGGATAATAAATTGAACGAATTAAGATTTCCAGATCGATTTGTTATGACGGATATTTTAAATCAGATTCGGTTACAGAATGTGAACAAAAATTATACTGATATTGAAGATTTTATGGGCCAGTTGGAAACTGGAACAGAAACGTCAATACCGCATTATCAATTAGCTATAAAGACTAATTCTTTATGTACTAAGAAAAAAGTATTAGAAGCTCTTGAAAAAGAAATAGAAGGTCATATAAATGTGCAAATACAATTTAATCTAGATGATATGAAAAATTACTGTTCAAAAGAAACTAATTTTATTTCCGAACGGTATTCAGGTAAAATTTATAAACATCAATGGCAAATGGATTTCTTAGAGAGAAAACCACAATTAAAAGAAGTTTTAAATAATCCTTTTATATGGCAAGAGTTTGTAAGGAAAGAATTATTAGATAAGGTAGCTGATGATCGAACAGTGGATTGGATCATTGATCCAGTTGGTAATACTGGTAAATCGTCTTTTGCGCGAGCTTACGTATCTGAAGTTCCGACAGATGGTATCTTAATGAAAATAGATAATTTAGATAGGATGAAATTAACTCTTATAAAGAAAATTGAGAATTATCAAATGAAACATTATAAAGATCCAAACGTAATATTCTTTGATTTCCCGCGAGCTTCAGATCCGAGTAAAACTATATCGGCAACAGCTTTGATGGAAGATGCAAAATCAGGTCATTTAGAAACAACCTTTGGGGGTAAGCACAAAGAAATAGAAATATCAGATCTCCATATAATTGTATTATCAAATAATGCTCCTGATTTATCAGTTTTAAGTTCAGATAGATGGAGACTATGGCGATTAGGTGGTAGACAGTACGAAAATATCATTTGGCCATGTAAAATTAGCCCCTACTTGAAGAAAGGTATCTCGTAAAGCTTGGAATATAAGATGGACAGTATCTATTAGAAATTTAACTTTAGAGGAATTAAGGTTTCTAAAACAATCTGAATTAATAAATTTTGATGAATCATGTTTGATGAAAAAAGGAGATAGTTTAGAAAAGTTTGGTGGAACAACACAATATGTAAAAGATTTAGTAATAAATATGCACAATTCTCCTAATTATATCAAAATACAAGCAATGCAATTTATGGAAAATATACACATAGTATAATTATTAAGTAGGAATTGAGATATTAATAAATTTATTAATATCTCAATTCCTAGAAAAATAGATTATGCGTTACATTCAATATTATAAACTATTTTCTCGTTAAATTGTAAGTTATTTTACTAACTTATTCTTAGCAGCTTTTTTAACGGCTGATACAGCTGCAACAGTGCAGCCCCAATACGTTCCATAGTTCTTGCAATAGAATCGAACTGTACGGCAGCAAATGGAAACTGAAGTGGTATAAGTAGTGTATTTTTTTGTGACAGGTATACGAGCT